CCAGAGAAGACTGCTGAGCCACTTCCTCACCATGCAGCCTTCCATGGAGAAGAGCAGAAGTGTCGTTCCTCAGCTCAGCTCTCCAGCCTGCCAGATCAGCAGCAAAGAGGAGACGCCAGGCTGCAGTGGCCTCTGGAGACCCTGGTAGAGCCACATGGACACTTTACCATTAGGAAACCAGCGTACAAATGCCACATTGGCATTAACTACAGTTTCCTAAATGTGTTAGAATATTCTTGTCCAACTTTTCATGGACAAAATATGACAAGATGCTTTCATATTGGAAAAGCACAAGTAGATTTTTTTATTACTCTGCCACTTTTTGACTATGCAAGAAGAACTGATGCATCCTTCAAAGATGTTTTAAGCTTTGAATTTATAAAGACAGGCTCATATTGGGTTTAAACTTTTACTGTATTTGCAGTATATTTAAATTCTGCTTTCATTCACTGAAAGCTTTTGCTCATTTTTATATAAAGCAAAATAATTATCTAGAATCTAAACATTTGAGTGTGAAATGTCTGTGACATTCTATGAAATATCCAGCTCCTATGGAGTGAATCATTTGTAGTTCTGTGTTGTTTATACACTGATGCAAAATTGCTTTTTTTGATTGTGCAGAAAATGCATTGTTATTTGTAATTTTATAATTCTCCAGACTGGAAATGGTGTGATTTTGCCTTCAGCGAAGGTGATCAATGTTATGTTGTCAGGACACTGAATGACTATTGCCAAAAATGCTCTGAAAATAAATCAAAATCTCAGTGAATTACTGAATGAATGGCAGATATAATTTTTCTAATTGATTAGAACAAATAAAGCAGTTGAGAGTTAAATGAGACACGATAGCCATCTGTGGCCAGGAGTCAAGAGAGCAAAATTGGCCATGCTCTCAATGTGGGAACCATGGCATACAACCATGGCATACTTTCTCTCCCTTGTCAAGTCACAGTGAGACTAACCAATCACGGGTTTCTGTGAGCTCATGTATGCAGAATAGAGTAGGTAACACTTTACGCTGCACCATGACGTAGCATGAGCAACAACTGGAAAAGATCTGGAGGTTGGCTTCAGGTGTCTCAGAGGAAGCACATGCTTACCCCAACCCTTCCCGGATGGTAGTTGTCATGTGATGGGGAGAGTTAGTAAGTGGAGAGTGGGTAAGAATTGTCAAGATCAAATTGGGGATGAAAATGGAGGGGGGGGGGGGTAATAATAAAAGAACTCATTTAAGATTTGGCCTCACTGCACAATATTGTTATTTAATTAAGATATTACATCCTCATGATATTCTGAACTTACTGTTTGCTCCGTCTTTAGCAGCATAAGAGGCTAATTCAATGCATTCCAGTACTAAATCTTTCAAGCAATTCTTAAAGGAATTTAAAAGCCCTAGTAATGATTGAACACAGCTGTCAGGTTAACGGCATATGGCTAATTAGCAGCCTAGCTTGTTTTTATGACTAACATGACCAGA